CAAAATAGGATTAGAAAGAATAAGCAATGGAAGAATGGAAGAGAAGAGACAAAGTGCACAGAAGAAGGTACATAAACACACACTTTTTTTTGTACCAGCTGCCCAAACACGTGGCAGGATGACTAAGTGGGAAACCGCAGGTGGAAGGATGACGAATGTAGTCCTCTGATATTCATATTCCAATATCCTGTCTTTATAAAGTATTTAACCTTACGTACTTCCCAGGGAGTTGCAAAACCTTCGTTCTTCTTAACTATGAAACAGACTGTCTCTGAAATCTCTTCTGCTCTATTAGAAAGCTGAGTCAGAAGCAAGTGACTACCTTTCATTTGGGATTGTACTATATTTACTTATTTAACATTTTCAATCACTTCTTTTAAAAATAACAACAGAGAACAGTGTTAAAGCTAGAAAACACAATAAAATTACAGCACAACAGTGATAAAACGATGGAACACTGTATTAATTCAATAAAATCACCATTGATAGTTGAGTATACAGTAGACAACCCCTCTCTCCCCCGCCAAGATTATGGCAACCGGACTGATTGATAACTGGCAAATAGAGGGAGAAAACATGGAGGCAGTGACAGACTTTCTATTTCTAAGTGCAAAGATTACTGTAGATGCAGACTACAGTCAGGAAATCAGAAGACGTTTACTTCTTTGGAGGAGAGCAATGACCAATCTCGATAAAATAGTGATGAGTAGAGACATCACAATGGCAACGAAGATCCGCATAGTTAAAGCAATGGTATTCCCTGTAGTAACCTATGGGTGTGAGAACCGGACCATAAGGAAGGCTGAGTGAAAGAAGATAGACACTTTTGAACTGTAGTGCTGGAGGAAAATTCTGAGAGTGCCTTGGACTGCGAGATCAAACCAGTCCATTATCCAGGAAATAAACCCTGACTGTTCACTGGAGGGAAGTCTATTAGAGGCAAAGATGAAGCACTTTAGCCCCATAATGAGAAGACAGGAAAACTTGGAGAAGATAATGATGCTGGGGAAAATGGAAGGGAAAAAAGAAGAGGGGTTGTCCAAGGGTAAGATGGAGTGACTGGCTTGACCTTGAAGGAGCTGCAGGTGGCCACGGCTGACAGGGAGCTCTGGCGTGGCTGGTCCATGAGGTTACAAAGAGTCAGGACTGACTGAATGAATAAACAACAAAATACAGTAGACCCTCCACTTTTATAGAGTTAAGGGTTCAGGATCCTCATGAAAGTGGAAAAGCTACAAATGAAAACACATTTCATGGTTCTGAAAAATGGCCATACAGCCTGGAAAACACACAACAACCCAGAAAACACATCTTTAAAAACTTAGAATATACCTTTCTATTCTTCTCTAGATTCCCCTAGGACACTATGTTCAACCTCTGTTGGAAATTTACCATGGAATCATGTTGGAGGAACTAAAGATTGCTAGAGAACTGTTCTCTCTAAAAAATATCTAGACCTTCCAAGACAGTTCTCTGGACAACTTCTGGCAAAAACTGATCGTAAGAGTCATCTCAGAGAGCCTGGTGATTCCAAAAGAAAATATATTGATCAAATCCAGAAATATGATTCTATGATTCTATATTCAAAGTTAAACCTGGAAATGTCAATGACTCAATGTACAATGCAGTCAGGATATCATAACAGTTAAACATTTCTTTTTCTGGTAAGAAAAAGATATCCCACCATATTATTTACATTCCTATGGTTACACAGATTAAATGTTAGCAGCTTTTTAAAAAAGTTCCACATACTTTAGCTTCTGCTGAGGCGAGAAAGAGACAGAAGGACAAGGACAAAGCGGATTAAGGTAAAGCTTTTACTGGGTTGTTTTTATCTCATTGATACTGTGCAAACTTTCCGTTCCAGCAGAGCCTTCTCTTTTAGTAGAATTGTTTTACAAAAGTTCAGCATTTTAGTACACAAAAAGCTGACCTTGCAAGCAAGATTGATCCTGCGAATTTGGACTGCAATCCCGTTCAGTCTAGTCTAAGAGTATGTCATCAAAAATTATTAATTTCTCATCCCCAATCTGGGCATCTGTATTTTCTTCCAATATATGCTGTACAAATGGTTCTTCTTAATTTCTTCAGCTACAGTCCCAATGTAGAAATAACACAGAGGTCCTATCTGCACTGCCATATAATGCAGTTTCAGAATAAAGATTAACTGCATTGAACTGGCTTCTATGGCATTGTAGACTCGTATAATCCAGTTCAATGCAGGAGGTATTATAAGAAATGTCCCCAATTTGAAGGCTGGATAGATTTTCCTTTTATATATACTGAACAAGACTTCGAAAAATCCCTTATTTTTAAGTACAGGCCTTTCATAAATATATGCAGAGGGGCTGTGGTGGTGAAGGTCTCGGCGGTGGCCAGGAGAGCTTTTGCACAATTAAAACTTGTGTGCCAGCTGCTTCCGTTCCTTGGGAAGTTTCACTTGGCCATGGTGGTCCACACTCTGGTTACATCCCGAGTAGACTACTGCAACACTCTCTACATGGGGCTGCCTTTGAAAACTTCTCGGAAGCTTCAATTAGTCCAATGGTCGGCAGCCATGTTGTTAACTGGAGCGGCGTACAGGGAGCGTACTACTCCTTTGTTGCGCCAGCTCCACTGGCTGCCGATTAGCTTCCGGGCACAATTCAAAGTGCTGGTTTTAACCTTTAAAGGCCCGAACGGTTCTGGCCCAGATTACTTGTCTGAACGTATCTCCTGCTATGAACCATCATGAACCTTAAGATCGTCAGGAGAGGCCCTGCTCTCGATCCCCCCACTCTTGCAAACGCGGTTGGTGGGGATGAGAGATAGGGCCTTCTTGGCAGTGGCCATCTGTGGAAGTCTCTCCTTAAGAACATCAGGCTGGTCACCTCCCTCCTGTCCTTTAGAAGACAACTGAAGATCTGGCTATGGGGCCAGGAATTTGACTAGATGATAGTGACAATAGGAAAAGGAACTTTGGGGTTGCGGTATTGGATTCCCGACTTGATTTTTGGTTTTACTGGCATACTAATATTATTTTTAAATGAATTTATTGGTTGATTTGTACAATGTTTTAAAACGTTTTTACTGTTTTAACTGTTATTTTTATGAAGTATATTTTGTAAGCATCGCTGATGCCTATGTGAGGCTGCCCTGAGTCCCCTTGTGGGGAGAAGGGCAGGATAGAAGTGTGTGAAATAAATAAATAAATAAATAAATAAATAAATAAGCTGCAGAACTTTCTGACCAGAAGGTTGGTGGTTTGAATCTGTGGGATGGGGTGAGCTCCCACAGTTAGCCCCAGCTTCTGCCAACCTAAAAGTTTGAAAACATGCAAATGTGAGTAAATCAATAGGTAGCACTTTGGTGGGCAGGTGACGACACTCCATGCAGTCATGTCGGCCACATGACCTTGGAGGCGTCTACGGACAACGCTGGCTCTTCAGTTTAGAAATGGAGATGAGCACCACCCCACAGAGTCAGACATGACTACACGTAATGTCAAGGGGAAACCTTTGCCTTTTATATTTGAGTGCTACTTTTACAGAGAAACAGATGGCCAGGTTAACTAAGATCAATACTTCCATGTTTATCTACATAGAACACACTTATTAACACCTACTTCCTGGTTGTCAATCTGATAGGTCATGGATTTCTATTGTCCCTTTTTGCTGTTTTGAAAACCTGTCAATACTCATTTGGTATTACTGCTAAAAGCTGAGATATGTGCAACAACACCTGTACTGATGTGGGAGAGAATTCCCCCAAAAGACTAATATGAAACGAAGTATAACAACTCTTAGCATTGCACCTGTTTAAAAGCCTCAAATTCCCTTGTAAAAGCAATGTTTGAAAACTACCCGTGTCTTGTTAATACCAAATAAAGTGAATTAATTACTGAACACTGTGCAACTGACTATAACTTAATTTTACCCAAAAAAGCAATGTTACTTTTATCTAAGTGAAAACTTCCAAACTTCATGAGCTATGGAGGTTCCTAGAGAAATCAGGAATCACCAGTTGACCACTGCAAAACATTTTCCAACCAAGCCCTCAAAGCCAAAATATCACTCAGAAGTTGAGGTGACCCCTTCTTGCACCAGGTTGTCCTGCCCAGTTACCCTCTGCTTCATGTTAGGACCAACACATGTAGTTGGTGCTAGGAAATATCAAAACACAAGCGTGTTTATCAACACTACTATTTACATGCAGTCCAAATAAAGTTTCTCAGAAATCCTTTCACTCTGCCCACGGGCTGAAGCTTTTGAGATTCCACATTACCCAAAACAAGCAAGTTGGAAGAATTAAGGCAAAGTCACCAAAACGGACTCAAAGAGTTTAATAGCAAAACAAACTCAATGAAAAACATTGTTGTCCTACAGAACAAATAGTAAGCCAACATTATGAAAGGAATTTCAGCATGAGAAAAAGAGCAAGTGATATAATAAGGGCTGAACCCACACCTACAAAATAATTTGTCCTTATCTCAATCTTGACCTTGGTTCAAAACACAATGTTCCTCCAGTTTTGCAGTGAAAACACATTTTTTAAACACTTGAGTGCTTTCATGCAATGTTTTAAAAATATTTTTTAATCTGCAAGCTTTGTTTCACATGTGTGCCTTGTGCCCTGAATCAGGATCAGGATTCAGTTGAGATCTTGTTCTCTCCCACCACCAACCCTTGTCATGAAAACATACAAAGAGAGCGACTACAAAGAACCCTCTTGCTTCACATTGTTGTGATCAGATCCAAACTATTATGATTATATAGCAATAAAATTAAGGACTTAATTTTGCATGTTTTTCTAATGAGCAAAAAGACTAATGAGGCCTGGTATTTTATTTTCATCAAAAATGAAACACAAAGCTTTTTCTTGATTCTAATGGTTTGCCCAAATGGCATGACATCAATTGGAATCCAACCACCCTACTTTTTTAATCAATGTATTGTTTTGTTAGCACGTAACTCTGCACCCTACCTTTTTTGGGGGGAATTTCTTTCAAATAAGAAACTTACTGAAAACAGTTTGGTCCAAACACTGTTGCAAGGTTGGAAATGTTCATTTTGTTCTCTGAGTGATGCTCAGCAACTCTTCTCAGGAAGTGGCAAAGGTACTTGAGTAGGCAATAGTGGACATCAGGCAGCTGTCTCAAGAGTTCTCTTAAAGAGTTCACATTCAGACCATGATGCCTGGTGTCTGGAGGAGGGAAAAAAGAGGAAAAACAAAGATGTTATCCAAACAGTGAATTTGTGCACTCAGCCGTAGGTGTTTTTGGTGTTGTGAGGATTACAGACAACTACACTGGGCAGTATGAAGCAGTGATTTCAGAGCTGGACTACAAATCTGGAGGCCAGGGTTCAAATCCCAAATCAGCCAAGGAAAATATCTTCCATGATCTTGGACAAGTTGCACTCTTTCAGCCTCAGAGGGAAGTCAAGACAAACCCTCTCTGAATAAAGCTGGTCAATAAAACATTACCTTAGAGTTGTCATAAGTTGGAAGTGATTACAAAGCACAGAAGAATAACAGTGGGCAATGCTATAGAATGCTGGAGTGTCAAGTTTGGTGAGGCATTGCAGCTCTCTAGCTGAAAACTATATATTCCTAAACTGCAACTCCCAGGAACTTAAGGAATGGAAATCTAATCTTTAAAGTTTTTTTTTTTGTGTGTGTGTCAGGAGTGACTTGAGAAACTGCAAGTTACTTCTGGTGTGAAAGAATTGGTTGTCTGCAAGGATGTTGTCCGGTGGACACCCAGATGTTTTACCATCTTATGGGAGGCTCCCTGCAAAGGAAGCTGGAGCTGACAGATGGGAGCTCACCCCGCTCCTAGGATTCGAACCACCAACCTTTTGGTCAGCACTCCTGCCGGTACAAGGGTTTAACCCACTGCACTACTGGGGGCTCCTTTAAAGTGGAATGACATTATAATTACATGGTATGGATGGAACTCATGTAACCAAATCATCACAAGCACAGGTTCCTATAAACCCAGACCCTTATCTACCACACTAATTTGATCATATTAATCTTACAGTCACAGTCTCAATATCTTGGCCAGTTCTACAATTTAAAATTACCGAGGGCCTTTTAAAAAGAGATAGATCATATTGAGTACCAATTATTTAACTCTCCTTAATGGGCGAAAAATCATGAGATATTAGAAACTCCCAAGAGGAAGATGACAATGTTTTGATTCCTCACCAAATCCCATTTAACGTTCAGGGTATTTTCCTAATGAAAGCCTTGACTAGAAAAAAAATATCTATGGAAACAGTAGAGTTTGAAAAGGTTACCAGTATGAAGAACATGTTCAAAGACTGGGAGTTGTTGTCCTAAACAAGTAACCCTTTCAAGCTCAGGGGATCATTCTTCTAACAAACATCTTGGTTAGCACAACTTTAGTATCTTCAGGCAATTACAAAAGCTTGCAACTCAACAAGAGTCCCACCATTGACCCCTGGAGGTCCTCAGCACTTTTCCATGCTGTAAGTACCTTTTCCCCTCCCTCTCTTGGAATGGAAAAAAGAATTCATCATTTCTCTTTATGGGCAGCAGCTCACATTTGGCACACAGGAATTGGGCAAGTAAATGAGCAGCAGCAATGAGATAATACAACCAAACAAGATTAAACCTAAGCACAAAAATATGGCCAAACCAACCCAGCTAGAGAAGCTGAGACAGTTCATGCTAAAGCATGAGACATTTTACAGTAAGCCTAATTCTGAATGCTATGAGATCTTATCAAATTATGTGGCAGAACATTACATTACAAGGATGCTCTTTTGTTGGCTTCCTGCTGATGCTATTATATGCCCTCTTTAACTCAGTGAAATGAGTTATAACCGTAAAATTATTGTTTACAGCCCAAGGCCATCACAATGTAATACATAAAAATTAGGACACATACAAACTCAGACTATTACTCTATCTAGTACTCTTTTCTTTGACTGGTAGCAGTTCTTCAGGTTCTCAGACAGTTCTTCCATATCACCTTACTATCAGGTCACTGTGACTAGCGATGCCACAGATCAAGTCTGGGACCTTCTGAATGCAAAGCCCTCCAACCAAGGGCGTCCTTCCTCCCTTTCTGCACAAAATATTTCCATCATACTGCATGGTCACATGGAGGGACGAGAGTGCCGTTTCTCAACCTGGGGGTCAGGACTCCTGGGGGGGGGGGGTCATGAGGGGGTTTCAGGGGGATCACCAAAGACCTCCAGAAAACATATATTTCTGATGGTCTTAGGTACCCCTTTGCAAGAGAAGGCTGAAGATCTCTCTGCCTATCCTTCCCTTCCTTTTTGGAAACAGACCGCGAATCATCCCACCAAAAGTCCTCCTCCACTGTGATTGGCTGGCCTCTCAGCCGGCCTCTCACCCAAAGGGAGGGCTGTTTCTGAGACTCCAAGTGGGGAGAGCAGGCGTGCTTGGCACATGGCAGTGTGGTGCACACGTGCAGGTGAGGGAGAGTGTGCGAGTCTGGAGGGAGGCTTGCAACAGAAAGTCCCTTCAATGCGGGGGGAGGGGGTTCTGTGTGGGAAGTTTGGCCCAATTCTATCGTTGGAGCGGTTCCGAATTCTCTTTGATTGTAGGTGATCTATAAATCCCAGCAACTACAGCTTCCAAATGTCAAGGTCTATTTTCCCCAAACTCCACCAGTCTTCACATTTGAGCATACTGAGTATTCATGACAACTTTGGTCCAGATCTATCATTGTTTAAAGTGGAATGACATTGTAATTGCATGGCATGTAGTTCACCGACATCCAGAGAACACTGTGAAAAATGTGGCTTGTTGTAGACACAAGGATTAGTAATAAAGCTTCAGTCAAGACACCTTTTCTCCACAATAACTCTTTCAGGAGTGAATTTTCTTTCCTGGGGGTAGGTTTCACTCACTTCCTGTTATCTCACCTCCGTCTTAATTATGAGTTGTTTGTAAGTCGGATGTTTGTAATTCGGAGTCTGCCTGTGTGCAGTTGACTTCTGACTTAATAACTGGCAAGAGGTTTGGAAACACACCAAAGGTTTGTGTGCCCCCCATGGTTTCCCTGCTTCGTTTATGGTTTCCTCTAATAGCTATTAGCTGTGGCATCTGAATTGGTAAATTGTGTTTAGCACCTTGACTCCCAATGTGGTTTCAACTCTGTTTTCAAATAAGCTCACACTGTGACTTGGTGGTGAAAAGCTAACTGTTGTTTGCCAAATCCAATATAATGAAAGATTACAGGGAACAAACAGAAAGCAAAGGATGAAAACTGTACAAATGATTGTAGTCTGTGAGTTCACAATATATTCATGAGATTCCAGTACATTATTGGGAAGGTATCATTGAACTGGAGTTTGGGTATGACTTATATTGTTCAAAACTTTCAGAGTATCAAATATTTAAAGAAAAGACGACACCAGGTCTTTCTGAGACTTCTCTTTATCCCAAAAGACTGAAGATTTTAATTACAGTGGTCTTGACTACTACGTATTTCTATCTTGAAGACTAAAATCTTGCTGGGTTTCCAGGGGGATAAAAGAGATCTTTCTTAACATAGAAAAGTACCAAATGAGCTCAAATGTCAGCAGGAGATGGTGAGAAGCAATTAGCTCTCCAATATGTTTTCCTGAACAGGTGAAAAAGAGACTTCTCTTATAAAACAGCTTGGATCTTACCATTTATTTTACAAAGCCTTTCTAGTATCTATCGCTAATACTGCTTATCAATGGAGAGATGATGTAGCATGCTGGTCAACAGCATGATCCAGGACATTCTCAGCATGAATTTCACTATGGCTGAATGCTCACTACATATTCATACATTAGTAATAGGTGTACCACTTTAATCTGGCTAGGCATATGACAAAGAAATATCAAGACAAGCACACTATTGTGTTCTGGCAGCTTGTTAGTGATGAATAGACACATGGTAGATTATGAATACATAAATGGCATTACAGTGAGTTAGGCCACTGATCCATCTAGCTCAGTGGTTCCCAATCTTTTTTTGACCAAGGACCACTTGACCAGGGACCACTCTCCCACATTAGTACCAAAAGGGTTATGAATCAGTTTCTGATCAACTTTAGATTTGGTTTGGGCTGCTGATTCAGAAAACTGCATTGCATAGACCACATCAGCTCTAGTTTCCGATACAGAACATATGCCATGGTCAGCAACAGGAAAAAAGTAGCAGGTGGTGCAAAAGGAGCAGAAATAAAAATAAATAAAATAAAATAAAGAGAAAAGAGGCTCACTGACCAGATTTTTGTCTTTGCGGTCCACTGGTGATCCACGGCCTACAGGTTAAGAACCACTGATCTAGCTCAAGATTATCTAAGTAAGTTAAAAAGTTTGCACGACAGACACCTCTGCCCAAATATCCTTTTAATTTAATATAGCCTTCCCAAACTAGAAGCCCTGTAGATGTGTTGGACTACAACTCCCAATGGCTTTGATCCTACTGTGCACCTTGAGTGGTGGAGTTCCACTAAATTAATTTATGCGTTGACTCACTAATTGATTCAACTGGTCTACTCTAGCTGACACCAAACAACAAGATGCAGGACAATATTTCCAGCCAGCTTGGGTAGTCAGATTAGAAATTGTAGAGCAGCCACAACTGTGAGAGATGCTCCACCTGTACCATCATCTCAATGTGGACAATAATCTTGCTGAAATGCTGCTCAACTTTGAGTGGACACTTGTTTATACCTCACCACTTCATCACTGATACTTAAAAAGCTTTAGATAATAACAGAGAACTGAGGATTCCAATTCTACTGTTGGTGCAGTTCAGAATTCTCTTTGATTGCAGGTGAACTATAAATCCCAGAACTACAACTCCCAAATGTCAAGGTCTATTTTCTCCAAATTCCACCAGTGTTCACATTCGGGCATATTGAGTATTCATGCTAAGTTTGGCCCAGATCCATCATTGTTTGAGTCCACAATGCTCTCTGGATGTAGGTGAACTACAACTCCAAAACTCAAGGTCAATGCTCACCAAACCCTTCCAGTATTTCCTGTTGGTCATGTGAGTTATGTGTACCAAATTTGGTTCAATTCCATCGTTGGTGGGGTTCAGAATGTTCTTTGATTGTAGGTTAACCATAAATCCCAGCAACTGCAACTTCCAAATTACAAAATCAAATTACAAAAACAAAACCCGACCAACCCCACCAGTATTCAAATGTGGGCATATCG